ATTTATTTCCAGAGATAAGAGTTAATACAATAAATTTCTTCTTTAATTTATTTGTTTGTTTTTATTTTGGTCCTTTGTTTTGTATATTTTTATTTTGGTTTTAATATTGACACCAAATATTGGGGCTTCCATACATGTGTAGTTTGTTAGAAAATATTGTGTATTACTGTTTTGGTAAATTTTGTATTCACTATGATATTGTCTTAAAATTACTTACAAGTTAATATTCACAGATTTATTTAATTGGATTCGAATTATCTCAAAAATGCAAACACGAGTATTATATATTTAAATATTAAATAAGTTCATAAGCTCTTATACTTTCTGGAGCGTGATATTTTTCGTAGTTTTTTTTTGGTTTTTAAAGTCACATCTTATCTCGTGTCTAACTTGAGACAAAAAGATTTTTCACCTTTTTATGTACCATGAAGGAAATGTATTATAACATGTGTTAGTCTGCTTTTCTTGATGTCAGCAGAAATATCACAATTACTTTCAGTCAAAATATTTTCAACTACCGTACGTGTTTTTTTAATAGTGTGAACGTAGTTAAGGGTTGCGACCGCCTAACTCTCTAACCACGATTCTAGCCATAGGGTACGACATCTTATCGATATTATGACGATATTTCGTAACATGTTACTACTTTGATATGCCTTTTGGAAGATAAATGGCATCGAACCAAATCATAGAAGGTGAACATAATTAAATTAATGTTGAATACAATTCGTTTTCTAGTGATTCTGACGCATTTTCTCTTCAAAGATACTCCTAATACATAAAAAAAAAAGAAATTAGTTATTGTAAATTTCTGCACTTGCATCTAAGCAATTTTACTCATTTTTTGTTATAAAAGATTTGGTAGTATAACATCAAGAATATTTTAGGGAAATACTATTGGTCTATTATAAGACAAATCCATCCAAACAATTATAAAAAAGAGACATTTTAATCTTTTATTGGTATTAAAACGAATAATTATACTGTTAAAATCAGACGTGCTTTTTTTAATTTAAATTTTTGTCAGGTTATAAAAATGTGAAAATTAGTGAAGTACATGATTTTATTAATATTTTAGAATTTTCTGTTAATCACACTCCCAAAAAGTTTTCTAAAATTCGTTGGTCATACTCAGGTTCTCAAGGTTGTTGTTATGAGCGCTTCACTATTAAATGCCTTCACAGGTATCTAGGACTAGAACAGGCGTTTACTCACATTACATTGTACTACCTACTATTGGGCTGTTAACGGCGATTCCAACAATTCACTATCCTACTGTTTATGAGTTAGGTATATTAATGTTAACAGAATCCAGCCTGTTTGGAACTTGAGACAATAAACATTTTCAAGTATTTTAGAATGTGCAAATAAAATGAAAGAGTGCCCAGTAATATTGTGAGTAGATATTATTAAACAAAATCTATTTAAAGTTGAATATTTTATATTTCGATAAACATCACCCTATTATTGCCTTTTTAGTATTTTAATGATAAATGCGTAAAACTAAGGCCATATCCCAGGGGAGGTTATTGGCATCATTACCTGGTGGACTAATTGAAATTGTTATGCAATGTTTTTATATTTTTTCAGACACTATAGATTTTATTTAAGTATTAAATATTGAATTAATTTAATACAATTGAAATAGATGAAGTGACGTAAAAGTAAAATTTATTTTTTTATTTAAATAAATGTAATTTTAATTTCTTGTGTCTTGTCAACGGCTATGTGACCCCCTGTGGCGAAAAAATTGGGTTCCGCCCTTGGAAAAACTTTTTAACTAACTAAACCTTCATGATTTAGGTTGGTTCTTTCAAACTAATTAAAACTAAGTAAGCGTTTTATCTTCGTTCCATGCAAACTTTCACAACTTTGCAAAGTAGGTATTAGTAGTAAGTAGGTACTCGGGTAGACGTAATTACTTGAGCAACAATAAAGTTATAATTCTAATATTATTAGCTTTACACAGTTTTTACTTCATTCATATTCTCGTCTATTGGATATAAAATATTTCTCCCCGAGATTTATATTTCTACTCTACTAAAGATACAAGTTTTAGTTAATTTGTGTAAGTTATGATTCTTGTTCCTAGATATCAGGTTATCCGTTCCGAACTTTTACAAGGTTTTCGACTTTCACAAGTGCTATTAAACAGCTTAGACTGAATAAATGATTCTGATTTGATCCATCCATCGGCATCTAGTTCATGTCCCTAAAACGAAAATTTTTAATGGACGTGGCCGCCGTAGATAATTCGTTCCTGACATCTGCCAATTACGACTAGTGATGGGACAAAGTTGTTAATTTATATTATTGTTAAATTTCGTTCGAATATAGTTTTTAATGTTTATTATCTGTTGGTAGAGCAAAAACAATAAATATATTTTCATCGTAAAATTTCGACATGTCACGAACACACGCTGTTTGAGTTGATAGATTATTTTTATTGAAAAATTCTTAAAGAATCCACAAATCCTGGTTTATTTTTAAAATGTTGATAAAATGTATTTCTGTTATTGTTTCTCGTTCTTATTGTGTTAAATTTCTTGGATCACCATGGATCTAATTAGACCATGGTATTACTATTGAAGACAGAGCAAAATTTGTGACGCTATGTACCTAGTTATTGTCGAATTTAAGTCTATGTATCAAAATTGCGTTCTCTTGGCTACACCATAGCGTACTTACCTCGCATAACAGGAAATGGTGATGATTGATGTGATGAGAAAAAGTGAAGAGGAAAAATTATATCAATTTATTTATATATATAAAAATATTGTATGGATACTAAAATTTGTGTTTGTAATTTGTGTGTGCGTCGAAATAAATTGTTTTCTTGTTGCAACGACCAGTGGTATCGAACTATAGTTGATGTAGGTTAACTGCCTTTGTAAGTGCATTTCGATAATATAATATTAGTGAAACTTGTGTCAGATCGACAATATTGGATAGTATTTAGCGTTTTATAGTTTGTCAAATGTATTTAGTTATTGGTAACTTGAAATATCTATTTTTATTCATTGATGTCCATAAATATTTATTATTTGTTTTTGAATATATTTATAAGCCCATTACAATATTTAAAGCTTTTTGGCATGAATTAATTATTATTATAAGGATATTTGTAAAGTATTATAAATAAAATATGAATTGATAACTTGTATTTCTATTGTTCTTATATTTGATTTTTTTATATGTATACGAGGACACCTAATACTTTTAAAAAGCGGTGCTGGATATTTGATATTGAATTAACTGTTGTTCTGGCAGTTTCACAACAACGAAGATCCATAGCCTAAAAGTGGAAACATTTAAAAATAATCGGTAAAGATTTACATAAAATATTTATTCAACGAATGGTAGGTACAATATGAAGTAAAATAAAGTTAATTGTACTTATCTATTAAAAAAATAACAAAGGCATGGGTTTTTTTTCAGACCTATTCTGGAATATCCTGTGAGTACTTATTAACTTCAAAAACCGATTATAAGTACGCAATTAAACGACTACACCTACATTATTATAGGTATTTACTAGGTATAGCCTGATAAGATTGTATATCTTATTCGTCTGTGGATCTATGTACGTTAAACATTAAAAGAGGGCTTAAATTGTATTTTAATATGTAAATATTATAAATTATTGCGCTCGAATGACACTTAACATTTTTTCATCATAATTTTGTTTTAAAATATACCTACTCTGGTTTATTTTTTTTTAAACATTTGTCACATTAAAAAATAGTTCAGTTATAGCTATAAATTCAGTTATAGCTGCCCTCTGTTGGGTCCTTGCATCAATAGAAATATGATTTAGAGCGCCATAGAAGTTATGAAACTGGTAATTTGATACCAGATTTAAAATTATAGCATTATCATATTAATATCGAGCGTCGATACAGATCTTAAAATACCGTTGTTACATTTTGAAGATGTTTTTATTTGATTTAAAATTTACTCTGCGACAGCGCTGTGTTCGCCTCTGTATTTTTAATAAAATAGCACGACTAAGTACATCGACGTGTTACTTTTATCACGGTATATGTAAACATTACTGGATATAAGATACGTCGAGTTTGTTAGGCAGTGTGGGTTTGTTGAGAAATATTATTCTACTATTACTAAAGTAATTAAAATAAAGATATTTACAAGATCACAACTTCGCAGTTGTCTATAACCTATAAAAAAGACGAGGTGTATACTTTAAATTGCAGTTATACTAATATTTTTAGCATTTATTTAATGTACACATATTATTAAGAACATAATGTACCCGTCCTTTATAATTTGCATCTAAAATATACACCTCGTAAGTAATCGTGAGAACAAGGCACGTGTTAGTAAATTCATTTGAATAGTATAATTTTCTGCGTTAAAAACATTAAAATGGCTATATCGTAAAAATATAACATGTTATAATAACGTTACATAACGTTACGATATTTTGTCATAATTATAAAACGAATCTAATATTCAAGGAACAATAACTAACAAAACTATCCACCTTATTGTTATGCTAGCAACTATAAAAAAAGCAACAGCAGTACATATTATTTTGGCATCGATCCTACTATTCTCTTAACACTATAATGATATACAACAATAAATATAATAATATCGTCTTAAATAATGCTTTTATTTATTATGCTATACGTTTAATACTTTCGGTTCAAAACTAAAATTATCGTTTTATCATAATACCTACATGTGAAAAGTACGAAGGCACTTTAAATTTTTTTTTTGCTAATAAATTTTTCTGCAGTTATTGTAAACTAAAACTTGGATAATTTAAATATAGAATAACCGATGGAATATTGCGTTAATGTTTAAACAGAAAGTATTATTTTAAGCATGGTCCTTTGCAAAATGTAAAATTAATTTTTACAAGCTGATATCACAGGCACGTTATATTAGTGAAGATTGACCGCAAGAACAACGAATATTAGTTATATCGATATCGTTATCCTCGAATAACTATATTTTTGTTTGTTTATGTATCTAATAGGTTTTACTTTAATGCAAAGGACTTTATGATTTAATATGTTACAAATATTTTTTCTTAAATTATTATTCCAACTCATTTACATCTTTGGTTCGATACCTAGTAAGGGTTGGTGATTACAGAGAACACAGATCTTTTCTTTTTTTCGTAATCCTCGAATCCTTTGAACTTAATCTACTTATAAACCTATCGTTTCGTTTGAACACTCGAGTTAAAGGGGAATGGTAACCATAGTGACAGAAATTTCGTAGAAAGTCTAAAAAATGGGTAACGTTTTAGAATCCTTGCAGGAACATCGCGAGTCAATAGAGTGATTGTTTTGACTGATTTTTATGACACTGAGGATAATTTCGGTTGGTTACCGCGTCTTAAAATATGGTCCTTCGAGCCGGATTTGCTCAAATATCTTCCGAACTTTTGCAGTCGTTTTTTTTCGTGTGATCAGCGCACGGCAACACCATTGATGGTTACTACAGCGCTGGGTCCCGTGGGCTCGGGTTCGTATGCCGAGTCGGTGTCGCTCCTCCTCCCGTATGCGACATTGTCGGTGATCCTCTCGCTGTATGGCGAGTCGTACACATTATCGGTGACGTGGTCGTATATGTGTCTGCCGTTACTATCATGAAGTGTCGCGTAGCTCATAACAGCGGCGTTCTGGTCTTCCTTTCTTTCTGCGCCTTCAATGTTTTCAGTGTTCTTTACTGGTGTAGCTTTACGTCTGTACGATAAAAAACATATTAAGTACATTTATGATTCAACTTTTTCAAAATTTTCTTCTATTGTGCAGAGATAAATAGGAAAAGCAAATGTGACCTTACGCACATTTAAAATTTGCGGAGATCTGCGGAGATCATTTCGATAAGCAGCAGATTCCAACCAATGAACTTTTCGTCAATGTTGTATTATTTTTAACCTAAGTCTGCTCTTCAAATAGATGGGAATTTCATGCAATGAGATGGTATTAAGATACTTACAGTCTCAAATAAATAACTCCCAGCAGCATCAGCAGGAACAACACAACACCACATCCGACACCCACACTTAGTGGCAGCGTGCCGTTCTCATTCGCCTCATTGGTAGCCAGTTCACAGCTCGGCTCTTCCCCTGACCATTTCCCGTCGTCCATACACTTTCTCAAAAACGGACCGACACGTTGGAATTGAGGCAGGCAGTGGTACTCGATGGAGCTACCGAATAAAGTGGAGGTGTTCGATATGATGATTCGACCGTTCTCGATCTGATTGGGCGATTTGCAGTCGATAGCTGTGGGTAAAATAGATTTTGTTGTTATATTCAAAAGCCAGTATTCCGATTTGGTGTACTTTGGTCTAGCACTAAGTTCTGCTGTGTACTGTAACTAAAATTTCCTGTTATACTTTTATATTGCAATAATAGTTATAAAATATTTAATCATGTAAATGCTGTAGAAAATACAGTTTATAAATGGGATTTATAAGGTCTTGCGATAGGTTTGACTGATAACTTTTGGCGTTTAGATCGGAGCTTTGGGCTTGGGCACTCCAAATCTCATTTAATTCCTCTTGGTAATGAAATATATGAAAAAGTACATTTGAAAACCACCAGTGGCATTAAAGTCAAAATTCTTCTTCAAGCAGCCATGCTTGCAGCATATTCCTGGGACCATCTTTTAAGCTTTTCATAGTAAACCAAAGTAACCAATTATATCTAAGATTGGTCTTTGAGCACTTACGAATGCAGACCGGTGGGACTCCTTTCCACTGTCCTTTGGGTAGACACACCCTCGTCTGGTTGCCCTTCAGACTGTACCCTCTCTCGCACCTATAGTGAGCCTCGCCTCCTATACTTAGTGTGGAGGTAGCTACGTGCAGCCCTATGCTGTCCTTAATTTGCACCGATGGATCGGTACAGGTGATTTCTGTCGAACAAAATATATAATGTAAGTATCAAGTGAAGCGCCATGCTTATTAATATTAGTTACAATAATTTAAGTTTTTTTAATATTCTTAGTCAAACGAAAGGAGATATCGCCATAACATCATTTAGATGTCGTATTCCGTGACTATAGTTGACTTGAGAGTTAGGCGGTGGAAATTGTACTGATTACAACTGTCTTTATAGTTTACATGAAAATTGATATAGAGATACTTTCAAGAATTAAGGAATAATAAATTAAACATTCACTTAATGGTACAAGTTAATAGTAAATACAGTTCTAGTGCTCACCTTTACATACTGGCGCTTCTGAACTCCAAGTGCCGTTGTCTTGGCACAGCCGCCTGGAGACACCGTTCAACTGCCAGTGTTCCTCGCACTCGTATAATGCCGCCGCTCCGTAATATGTGGCGTTAGTAGCTAATGTAACCTTTCCGTTCTCTATACGACCTGGGTTACCGCAGTCCACATCTATCAAAAACAGGAAAGAAGGTTTAATGTTAATCAAGTCTCTGAAAATTATTATGCTTCTGCAATTTAAGCATCCTGAGTTATACAATTAGAGTGTGGATAATTCCATTTAAATTATATTAGACAATATCACATAAATTGTTTTGATTCCAAATGACTAAAGCACTAAGCATAATACTCAGACTCGAGACAATATAGAGAAGCTATCTTAATAATTAAGGGTTCAAATAAAAATGTTGAATAGTCAGCATCAGTGAAAAATCTTGTAAAAACTTGAAACAACTGGTGGAAAGATGGTACCTGGTACCTTAGTGACGGCGACACCTTAAAACTAGTCGTTAAATGATAACAGTGGAAAGTTGGAATCGATACTTACATTGACATTTTGGTGTGACTCCACTCCATTGTCCATTGTCTTCACAAGTAGATAGACTCTCACCGACCACTTTATAGCCTCGTTCACATCTACAAACACAATGGATTAAGAATTCGTTAAATCAGACGCTAAAAAATCTATCATTTCGATTCCATGAGTCTCTTCTTAAGTTCTTTCTTTTTTGACGTCATTTAAATAATCATTTATAATCAAACTTATTAAACCTTGAATATCAAACTTGTATGGCTAATGTAGCTTTAAAGCAATGACAATTTTAATGGACGTTTGTGCAACTGGCTGTAGACTGACAGGAGAGCCAAGCTAAAAGAGGCGAACTAAACGCATTTTTACGTCACAAAAGTGAATAATAAAATATTATTCGATTCGTACTGGACGTATGAGGAGCTTCATATGTTTACTGTGATCGTATGTAAATAGGAAAGATTGTACATATTGCTCGTTTGTTTGAATTAAACCCCGAAACTATTGGACCGATATTAAAAATTCTTTCGTCTATGGAAAGCTATGCCATTTTGACGTATGAACTTTTATTAGTTACGTGGTTCTATAAAGCTATGCTATTATAAAGTCTGCTCTGGGCACAGCTCATACTCTGGATGGAACAATATAGGGAGAATCGGATTCAGCTTTTTATTTGCAAAAATTTTGCAGATGTTCTCGAATCACAGTCACGGAGGAGTTAAACATAATAAATTTTTCCCGACCGGCGCCATTGAGCTCCTGGGGTCGTACGCACCTGTATTTGACCAAAGCGCCGATTCTGTATGTGTTCCCTGAGTTGACACTGACAGACGTCCTAATGAGAGTGCGACCGTGCATCCTGTCATTACCGGTTACAGACACGATGCTGTTCACCGGCACTATCGGGTCTGGGCATCGGATTTCTAGAAAGAGACAACCAGAATTGGTAGAGCTAATTAAGATACTTAAGCTATTATAACAGATCCTTTTCAGGTAAACTAGATTGAGATACTGATTATCTTTTTCATCTTTTTTTAATAATAAATTGTGACAGAACCATTTAAAATTATAAATAACTCGATACATAACCAAAAAGTTGTCTTTTTAGAGCTATACCTACTTGGGAATCCGCAAATTATGCTAGTTTAGAAATATTCGACTGATACAAATTTAAATAAATCATTTTCGGAATTTCCCCGCTTTCGTAATGACCCTTAAGCACCTTACCTTCACATCTCGGTGATGAGTCACTCCACTGGAAGTCTTCGGTGCAATACCTTCTAACAGGGCCGACGAGCCTGTACTTAGTAGTGCAGGAGTATTGGATTACGCTGCCCAAATGAGTAGTGCCATTCAACAGCTCCGCGGAGCCATAAGGCAGCGGCGGCAGTTTACCGCAATCAACATCTAAAGCGTTAACAAATGAAAAATGCTATAAATGGAAAATGCTTCAAAAATCCACTTGGCCCTGGCACCCCGAGATGGGACCAAGTGGATTTTTTAAGCATTTTCATTAAGAATATATTACTTAGGAAGTTTTTAGATTTACGCCCAGTTGAACAAACGTTCATAAGGGTTTAATGATGACTTATAACACTTATGAATGTTTGAAATTAGTATCGGTAAAGTTGCTTTAAACTAATAATGATTAATGGACGTTTGTGCGACAAGATTTCCCTACAGTACTAATCTACAGTGATTGAATCAATTAAAGATGTAATAAAAGGGTTGTTTGTGTGTTCTACGTCGAGTTCGAAGCTAATATCTTAACATAATAGCTGCTCTTTAAAAAAAAACTTACTATTTCTCAGTTGAACAAACGTCCAATAATTTAGTGTAAATCCACATTACCGATACAAATGTTCAAATTTAGAACATTAATTAAAGCTTAAAGTCGCCATTAAACCTTAACGGATGTTTTTGCAACAGGTTGAATACAAATAAAAACACACACATTTCGATACCAAACGACCACTAGTTTCCTACAGCACTTGAGACTTACATTCGCATTTGGGAGATTCTCCCGACCATTCCCCGTATGAGGTGCACACGAGACTCGATTCACCGATCAGCTTGTGGCCGCGCTCACAGTGGAAGTCGATCGATGAGTGTACGTTGTAATCGTACGCCTCCATGTAACCTCCAGCGGGTACTTCCGGTTCGTTGCATGATATCACTGTAAAACGAAATGTTACATTTAAATGTATCCGATTGTCTCTCAAGCTCATTGAATGGATAAATCACATAAGTAGGTTTGTTGTTCAGACCCTAAGCAAAGTAACTTTTTTCCTATTTTTTCCTTTTTCTTTTCTTTAGTTTGTAAAATATATATAAACATTTTTTAATTAATTTATGAAACAACTATCAATGCCATGTTATGTACACATTATTCTTGATTGTAGTCTAGACCTAAATTTTATTGTCAAATATGTATTAACTTTTTATGACTGTAATCTGTTTTGTGTGCCTGTATATATATCATCGTCATCATCAGCCCTTTTTCGTCCCCATTGCAGTAGCTCAGGCCTTCTTTATGGATGTTTAAGGAGGATGGGCCATGACCCTCCACGGCGGCCCCGCATTGGGCCCCCCCGCATTGTTAGGGGGTATTAACGACTGCACATGTAGCCGGGACCGACGGCTTGACGTGTCTTCCGAAGCACGGAGTCACTTGAGATAATAATATTTTGGTCAAATATCTCGTAACAGACCCTTGCGAAAGTTGCTTAACAACAACGATCGCGGGCCGAGGCGCTTATCCACTACGCCACAGAGCTATTTAAATAAATATTACTAGTCGTACAAATTTAAACACTATATTATTTGGTTTCGACTGCATATGTAGTTGTTAGAACCAACCAATACGCATTAGGGCTGCGTGATAAGCTCTTCTTTCCTGTGTATATTTTCACAGAAAAGTGCCCTAACTGTAGGAAAATTATGTTGATGTATAAATATGATAAAATATCAACTCACGTTCACATGTAGGTATATCATGGGACCATTTCCCGTCGCGATTGCAGACAAGTGTATCCGAACCAGACAGCCAGTAGTCCGGTTCACAGTTGAATTGAGCTAGAGAGCCGTACGTGGTGGTGCCGTTGGGCAGCTGGAAGGAGCCCTTGTGGACCTGAGCTGGTGTACCGCAGTCCACGTATTTGCAGGAGGGAGGAGTGCCGGCCCATGCACCGCCAAGTGTACAGTTTACACTCTAAACAAAATAAAGTCGTAAGTTTTACTGTTTCACTGTTGCAAAGTGAGATTACAGATACAAATGATGTGAGGCCATAAGTGGCTCTTCCGGCTTTAAAAATTACTTAAATTTCGGGTCTGAAAAGTCTCTTATCGACTCACATTCATTTCTAATTTAGAGCATAAAGACTTCAATAAACCTTACTGGACGTTTGTGCAACTGGATGTAAGTTACAAAGAAGTATAGTTGTTAAGTTATGGAATATCAACTGTATCACGTTTTCATTTGTTTAACGGGGCTAATGTACGAGTATTAACGTGGCATTTTCTTAAACGTCTTTAAAAGGAGAAGCTTTTCAATTCGACTGTTTTTATGCGTGTTACCTCATACATAACTTAGGTTTGTAATTGCTATGTGGTTCCAATATTTGAAACAGAAGCGCAAAAACTACTTAGACGAATTTGTCACTTATTAAGATGATAGTGATTTGCGTGGATACCTAATTATCAGTGCTTTTTTTGTAAACTTCACAATTTTGTAAGTTTGCACTCCGTTTGTCTCCAAAAATATCTTCCGCCAAAAAACTACAACCGACTTTAAAGAAATCGAATAATACAAAAAAAACTTTTTGAAGTTTGTTTAAAAAAAAAACATCTAATTAGATTTAAGCGCCATTTGTAGAGAGTCATAAATGTAGAAACATTAATTGTAGCAGTAATAAATGTGTCATTTATTTAAAATATTGTTGATTAGTCTATGGGAAGATGGAATCAATCTCAACAGTATTTTGCTACTAGTTTTTAAAGGTTTAAAGAGAATCAACTTACCGGTTGATCATCGCCATCTTTCATTCATTTTATTTTCATTTTACATGTAAAAATTAATATATTTACTTGACATTGGCAGAATTGTGCGATATGCGCAGATAAGCTATTAATTAAAAAAGAAGAAGAAGAACTTACCGGTGATCCAAAGAGTATGAATCCGTTCTGGCACGTGTAAGTAGCCAATGAACCTGCTTTGTGACCATCGATGGTTACAACGGCTCCAGAAACTACAGGAGGCTCCGGGCACCAATCGAAAAGACATTTCGGCGCTTCTCCACTCCAAACTCCTTCGTCACCGCACATTCTTGTAGGATCTCCGACTAAAGTATAATTCTCTCGGCATGTGTAGATAGCTTTAGCACCATGCGTTGTTCTACCATCGACCAAGGTGACATCGCCATCTTGTATCGCCGTCAAACCACCGCAGTTGACATCTGGATTTTTTAAAAGTTCGATATTGTATATTTAAATGTCCGAGAATCAAAGTGGAACTTTGAAGCTGTTGAAATTGGAACCGGAGTGTCCCAACAAAAGTCGATGAAGTATTACACGATAATACAACTTTCTACATTATCAATCTCCATTGGTCCACACGTAGTATTTTCAAATAAAGAAAAGGATCCACTTACATTTGCAGCTAGGCGCAGTGCCTGACCAGAAGCCGTCTTGCTTGCACTCTCTGACTTCATTCCCGAGCAACATATGTCCTTCAGGGCATTTGTACTCTATACTTGCGCCCACCTTGTAGTTGCTTCCGACGATAGTAGTGTTCAACAGCTTGTCCGGGCTGCCGCAAGTTGGCGGCACTGCCAAAACGATCTTATTTTAAAAGACTTACCTAAGGAGTTTTTACTTACAAATAAACAATAAAAACAGAAATAAACTTAGGTATAGAAATTAACAATGGCGGCAATTGCAGATGGACTATATATATAAACTAAAATGCAATAAAAATATACAACCTTTGCATGAAACAAAAGTATTAAACACCCAAATTCGCTGAGCAAATTTAATTGCTATAATGAGAGCAAGATTTTTACTAATCATAATTTGAAAGCAGATTACTACTATCGGTATTATATTACATAGGCTTAAATTGTTAATTAACCTCATAAAAATTATAATCCAACTATTTGCAGGACTTAACTCTTTCAATCTAAGTTTAACATGACCAGAAGGATTAATTACTTCTAACTGAAAACAACAGTAAACTGCGGAAATGGGGTATTGTATTTTTGGATTGTAATATTCCATATTTTATTATTTTCTGGCAAAAGCGTACCTATAATAACCTTTATTTTCATTAAGACTACTTGGTCAAGAACCGACAGAAATCGCGTGAAGTATCTCCAGTAGATACAGATACAAGTGATTAATGAAGATATACAGGCGATCGGTGAAGCGCTACAATACATAATTGAAATAGAAATATCGTTAACATATTGCATACAATTACATTGGCAAGCATTGATGGATTTCCGTATAATGCCAATTATAACAATTTACATTGACAACTTAATTCAAAACGAGTTTGTGTAATTTCCTCATAAGATATCATTGTTTACTAAATACATTTGGTTATACTCATTAACATTACAAAATATGCGAATTTAAATGTAATTATAGTGTCATTTTTCAGCCATTTCCTTTTTATTTTAATTATGATTGATATTGACGCGTCATGAATTATTTAAGAATTCAAATAGGTGAAATTGAAGTGAATATAAAAAAAAATGCTAGCTTTTTTGTGATAAATTAAATGGCGTCGTTTACGACTAATTTTATTAGGAAATTTTAAAATTGAGTATATTTGGGGATAACTTTATTTATTTTTCGGAGATACTAGTTATATCTACTTCTAAGTTCTTTGATGATCAGATATTTGTTCGTAAGATGAACTAGATCTGTGACAAACAACGTAAGCCTAACGTTCGCGTTATTAGTTCCTTGAAACACTTTCGTGAGATTTCACGGTGTTTTGAACAAAGACAGCTTGAGTTATTGTGCGATTATTAACATGGCATTCGTTGACATTGGATCAATAAAAATATGTATGTAACCAATAATGATAATGTAAATGTTATTTTGAAAATTATTTTGTTATCGAAGCATCTTTTTGGTGTTAGGCAAATCTGTAGGTACCTTACATAACTATTTAGAAAACTAGAACAAAATGAAATTATACAGTGAAACAGAAACTTGACTTCAGCACTTCTGTATTTTGGAAAGACAAAAACTCTGATTGTGGTTGATTTAAATGGGTTATTAAAACATCGCTTTGAAAGGGCACGCTGGCACAATCGCACTGGCATCTCGCGTGGCAACTGAATGGAGTCGATATGTACCTATAGATGACACTCACGGTACTGGCAGATCCAGTGTAGATAGTCCAAGTTGCAGCCGACGTCGTTCCAGGACCACGCCCGGCCACCGTCCAGGACGACGCAGTTTTGCTCTCCGTTGTAATTATTCGGCTGGTCTTTACCCCATGTTGGCTTCGACACCACTTCGCCTTTTAAAATATGTCTTTGTTAAAACATTATCTATTAGAAATTAGCTGACATAAACTTAGTGACGTGTTAGATGAGTAACGCGTATATAAAGTGCTTTGCATCTATTATGCCAAAATAATTAGCGTCATATGAGTCATTAGAGCTTAAAGTCGTCCTTAAACCTTAATGGATGTTTATGCAGCTAGGTGTTGGTCACTTGACAAATAATTGTTTGGTTTTATTTGCCTATTTGCCAAATAATACCAACGATAATACGTGTTAGCTTTCTGCAAATAGCCAACTGAAGTTCCATCATTAATTACATCAAGAGAAGGGCAACCATTAAAGATAGAGGAGAGGGTATCCTTGCTAGAATCGAACCACCCCAGCAGCCTAAGTATGATAGAATATGAATGCTTGGAGAACGCAGAAGAGGATGGCAAACTGGCAGAAGGTCTTGTGAGGATCTATACAGATGGCAGCAAACTCGAGGGTAAAGTCGGTGCAGCCCTGACCTGTTGGAAAGGGGCTGTTGAGATCGCTTCCCGGAAGTTTAAGCTGGAGCCATACTGTACAGTCTTCCAAGCCGAGCTGTATGCCATCCTCCAAGCGACAGAATGTATGATGAGCAAAGAGTGGAAGGAGGTCGCGGTGCTTAGCGATTCGAGATTCGCCCTACAGTCACTGCAAGATCCAGACTCCTCGCACCCGATCACGAAGGCGATACAAGGCAACCTGACCCAACTTAGGAAACACGGCCATAAGGTCTCCCTATTTTGGATCAGGGCCCACGTCGGCGTGATCGGGAACGAGAGGGCGGACGAGCTGGCGAAGGGGGCGGCTCTGGAATTAAAATGTAAATCGCACTACGACGGTTGTCCCATCTCTTTTGTTAAAAGGCATTTACGCAATTTGACAAAAGTAGAATGGGACAGCCGCTATAGAAGCGAGAGCACCGCGGCCACGACGAAGGTGTTCTTTCCCAGTGGAGAGAAGGCCTTCGGCGTCGTACGAAAAATGAGAATTGAAAGGTGGGCTGCACAACTGCTAACGGGGCATGGAGGGTTTAGATCCTACCTCTATAAATATAAATGCAAGGATACCCCATATTGCGAATGCGACCCCCAAATAGAGCAGGATGTATTCCATGTTTTACTGGAATGCCCAATTTTAAACGTAGACAGGCACACTCTACAATCACACATAGATACACAACTTAGTAGACCAAACCTGGAAAAGATAATGGAAAATATAAAAGAAAGAGACATATTTGTAAAGTATGCTTGTAAGATAATAGAGAAGATAGTGAAAAGAAATAAAGATTAATTGAATAGATGGAACACAAACAGCAAAGAAAATCTGTGATATTAGAAATAAGAAGTAACCTGTAAAAGAACAATATATATATGTAAGTTAAAAATAAAAAATGTAAACCAAATAGGTATATAAAAATATAAATGTAAAGTAATCAGATATAATTTTGAATAGAATAAAGAAAAATGTAAAAAAATAAAGGAAAAATATGTAATAATTAGATAAGAAAAATGTAGTAAACAATAAGATAAGCCAAAAGAGGGAAAAAAGAGCGATCCCCATAACAACAGATAAATCATATCTGTCTAAAGAAAATAAAAAACAAGCATAAAAAACAAAAAAAGACAAAAAAGACAACCTGCTCAAAAGTGGGGGAACCTGCATTAAAAAAAAAAACCATTAAAGATAAAAAAAATGTTCTTGTGTTTTGTGTGTGGTGGAAATATATATATATACTCACCATCGACCCACTTCCAGATTCTGTTGGTTAGCCCGGGCTCTTTCTGAGCCCCGATCCAGACTAGTTGTGTTTTTAACATGGACTTTCGGCGTTCCAGCTCTTGTATTAAGAAGCTGAAGGTAGCGCCCTGAATCAATGAGAAGAAAAACACATTATTACCGGTCGTAGATTGTAGTGATATATCAAGGAAAATATATGTAGGTATAGATATTGTGTTTGTTGCATCATAAGTAGATACATGTTTTTAGGTTTGGGGTTCTGTACTAAATATGGAAGAAACAAGACAAGACAAGATTTTTAAAGAGTCACTTGTGAGGTGGTTACTTTTAAAGGGATTACTAGAAAATTATAACGTTCTTTCCTAATTCAAAAAATTGCTGAATTTCTATATCTATATTATAAATATTTCTTTATCTATAGGAAGTAATTTTGTGTTCAAAATCAATATCTCGAGTGAGACCTTCTGCGCGCGAGCTTCATTCCCTCCTGGTAAGTTTTTAACAATCATTATATCCATTATACTTGATTATTGAAAAAAGAACATACTTAAATCACGTAGATATTATACTTCTTACACAGACTTTTCTCATGACAACTTTGTTTGCACTTTACATTTGAAGCAATAATGATGTTCGAAATAACAGTATAACATAAAAAAACAACTTGTAAACATCCCATTATAATGAGAAAGCTGTCTTTTGAAACACGGAAAGTTGCTGTAGGAAGGTGAGCTTAATATATATTGTTTTTTAACGATTTATTATTCTACAAGTTTGTTGGTTAGAATTTCTTAACGCATAAGCTTCTTAGATGAACAATATAACTTACCATAGCTATTTTATATTTTTAAATAATAATATTATTTAGAGGTAAAGTTTGTTACTTTGTTTGTAGAAGGTAATCTTCCAAAATACTGATCTGAACATGGAAATTCTTTCAGATTAGTTCTTTCATCTGTGGTAAGCATCATAATACGCGAGTAAGACAGGCTAATTTACATGGATGAAATTGTTGAAAAAATATCTAGTTATTATTGCATATGTCTAAGTCACTTGCGTATGATACGTCTTCCCATAAGTTAAAGAAAGGTCCAGTACAAACAAATACACAATCAAGACTTTCCTCTTTGTAATATATTTTGTTTTAAGTTTATTCCAAGTTTGCATACAAAGATCAAATAATAAAAATCTTAAAGGAGCGCCGCTCTCGCAATTAAAATACTAAATTGAAAGAAATAATTATTTATACACAACATACCTACTTTAATTACATTTATTTTCATACAAAACAAACAAACAGATTATAATTGATTTGCATAATATAATTGATTAAATCTAATATTTCAGTCTCATAGAATTTTTGATTGTTGAACTCCTATGACAGGAGTGACATATTACAGTAAATTATGCTTCTACAATGCCATATGCTCGTAACTGAGAGGTTTTCTTTTGTAATTGGCAGGAATTTTCTGAGACATTGCTTTTCCTTTTTTGTCAATCTTGTATTGTAAAGTCAAGTCTAGTTGAATAAGAGAAATGCAATAGAAATACCACTTTGACTTTTGTATGATCGGTGTCTGTATAAAACACGTGTAAATGTTTGATGATGTGAAACCTTTTATTGGCCTTAATGTTGAGCTTGTTATAACCTATACTATTATTTGTAACGCTGTTGGTTTCAATTATAATAAATAAATAAATAAAATTTCGAATACGACGCCACTTTTAGTTCCAAATAATATGTGAACAGTTACACATAACAAAAAATGTGTCCTCAAATATACATCTAAAGAAACCGTTCACCGTTCCACAATATGTTAGGTATAGGATACATTTACTCATTGCATTCAATTAACACACTGTCATTGTGTTGTTTATATTCTAATTAAGCCATTGTCATCGACACTAGTGATTGTTTTCCCTTCGTCATTTGGTAGTAAAATGAGAGAAAAGGTCATTTTCGCAGACTCGCGATCGTGTCGAGCTCTCAGAATTGGGTTATGCAGAATGTAGGCGTCGGCCGGTGCTATAAGAATTTACAGATTACAAATTTGATATTCTCTTTGTAAAGAGAAGTTTTCGTGTTCCAATTTGAGGTTTAATCATTAATTATCTAATTAACGTGTTTAATTTTGAAAGTAAGATATCATGCGTTGATTTATTAGATATCAAATGTTCTGAATGAAAATTATTCATTTATGAGTCCTGAATAAAGCCGGGCTTTGATTTGGTATTTAGCAATCTCTTTTGGCATTCTTAAATTATATTCATAAACTAGCTTTTGTGCGCGACTTCTTTCGCGTGGTGCACTGGACAACAATTAAAAAAAAAACTAAACAAATATCGACCCATTCCATTAAAATTGGTTTAGTGGTTTAGTCGCGATAACTTAACAAAGAGAGTTACTTTCAATTTATAATATTAGTAGGGAATACACATAAACTTCGATGATAGATTGTATTACTGCGATGTTGACTATATGAAAACCAGCACTAATGTTACAAATCCGATGAACAACATTCTTTTTTGCATTTTTATATGTAATAATGCAAAAAAGAATATGCGCTTTTATGTAATTTAAATTGATAAAAAATAATAAATATTAAGAGGGGCGTAAAGCTAAAAGATAGCAATGTCTGTCATCTCATTGGCAATGTAAGGCACATTGTCTTAACATTTATACCTGGAAGCCGTGGATAAGGTCCCCGCCGTGTGTGCTGCACTGCGTCCTGGCGTCGTCAAAGGATGCGCCCTTAGCGACGTTGAATTCGTAACAATTTCTACTAAACGCCGCTAGTTCGATGTCTGCTGGAGCACCGGCAGGTGTGCACCGGTCATTAGAGAACTCTATAAAGAAAAAACACATTATCTATTTTCTCTTTTATCTAAAAAATTCAATAAATTTGTAATTTATTAGACTGTTGTTAGACAACATCACGTGCATTGCTTAAATTCCAAGATGTGAGGCTACAGAAATCGTACACACGAGAAAATAAAATAAAAGTTATTTTTTTAAATTGATCGTACCGGGCACCGAATCGGGGATAGCGACTCGTTCGTTCTTTCGTTCTTTGTTAAGCAACTTTCTCAAGGATAAGTAAATAGACAAATGTACTAAAGGCATATATAAATAGGATAACAAAATAAAAGTTTAAATTTACTAAAAAGATGTAAAGTTAGAATATAAGACAAAGTGAAAAACAAAAATCTATAGAATATAAGATAAAAATGTAAAAATATAATAAAGTTACCAATAATAATAGTAAAAAAGACCCGTTACTTAAGGTTACTTAAGCATTTGAAAAAAAATCATCTACAAGGAAAGCCCGAGTCCTGCAGTGGATCTCAGGACTTTCTTATGGCCTGAAAAGGGCTGATGATGATTTTTATGATGCTAGCTAAATAACCCTGTATTTACTAACCTTCAGTGGTGAAAACCTCGACTTCACAGAGAGACAAGGAGCCTTCTACACCGACCAGCTGCAGGAATACATGTTGTCCGATAAGGGGGCGCGCACACGTGAATGTTTTCGTTACACCCTCATCTGTAAACAAGTATTTATTTAATTCACTCAGGTGACCAGCCCTGCGAATCTGTAAAAAGCCGAACCCGAATACCCTCAGTTGCCCGAATTTACTTCAAAAGCGGCATCCGCTTAACCTTGAATGGTAATAACGTTTCGTGGCATAAGTGAAGTGAGTTTCGAAAGGCATAGAGATAGAATATCTGAGACGCGTATGAATCAATCAATCAGTTTTGTATATTTATACAAAATTGGAAACAATAGAATTTCTAATCGGGTTCTTAATTTGAATTTGGGTTCGTATTTTCACAGAATCGCTCTACAGGGCCGGATCTAGGGTCAGTTAGCCATGCGCCAGTGTCAGAGGAGCGCCAAAAATTTTAAAATCGGGCGAAATTGGAAAAAAAATCGGGCTACAAATGTCTCGGGGGAAGGTGCATTACGAATTTCTTGCCCGGTTGGAAAAAATCATAGATGATACACAACTATTAGTTACCTACATATTTTTTAGAACTAGTTGGCTTAATAAAGTCAAGTTTTTATATAAAGTACGGTTACAACTGATAACATACCAATTATTGGTTATTTGTACCTATATATTAATGTTTTTAACATTCCTTTCATAATTGGTCTTTCTTGCTGTTCAAGCTGAGGTTTGATATCTAAATTTAACAATAAGCGATTGCGATAAATTAATCAGAACAATTCTTATTATATTCTAATGCATCATCTGTCCCTATATTACTTATTGGTTGGTATATTTATCTGTCTCGTTTCCATTTTGTCTTTATATGCATAATAGGACCTCATTGTAAGAGGCCTACTATTGTTGTTGTTTGCTGAAATCTCAGTAAAGAGCCGTTGAATTTTTAGAAAGTGTAGTTGACTTTCGCGATTCAATGCATTATGGGTTTAAGTCGACGCTTTCAATTTCATGAAATCAGTTAATAAATAATTAATTCACTATTAATTTCTTACGTTTTAACATTTTTTTATAATTCAGAGAAATTGGTTGACGACTGTTAAAAGTAATCTTAAAAATAAATAGTAAAGATTACATAGTTTGTTTGTTTTGCGTTGAATAGGCTCTGAAAATGCTGCAGCGATTTGAAAAATTCCTTCATTTACAGGAAGCTTATAATGTAGCTTCCTGTAGGTGAAGGAATTTTTTAAATAGGTTATAATTTACACGCGCTACATATTCGTCATTATAGCATTTCGACAAGGAGATGAACAACTGTGATGTCGTTATATATAAGATGGGTGGATTTATCATATCCATTTCCGCAAAACAATTAGACCTTATTACCTACCCACCAATACGGACTAGGGTCAATGGTGGGTTATGATTCGATCTCCCTTGGTTTTTCTCTAAAAAATAAATAAATAATTTGTCATTCTAGGCTGTCAAACACTTATGAAATCCAAGAGTTTTGCCATCGGTTTACAAATCTACGGCGGGAAAACTCAGAAGAACAGGCAAGAAATGCAGCAAGCACTACTCTTTTTTCCTTGTTTTATTTCATACAGAGCTTTGATATATTTAAGATTTAGGTTTCGATGCTTAGAATGAAAACTCCGGAGCTCGAAGTGTGTCTCTAAATATTTAAAAAAGTGATATAATTGCGATATCCAGTTAATTGTTAGCAAAAAAGGCAAAAACTCAAAATTTTTGATGAATAGTTGAGCGAATCTTCTGATTTGACTACTTTTTTTATTATGCTTATATTTATTTATCGAACATTGGAGAGTCATAGCGCAGTAGGTATCGTATTCTACGATGCGGAGAATAATCTTTAATTCGTATGGGCCGGCGATAGAATGGTTGACCAATTACTTTTTTGTCGTTAATCCTGACTGGATCTGCCGTGTTAACACCTACTAAACGCACTGAGCACCTGTCGTGGCCTATTCTGGTAGCCACACACGACCTTGTTTCTCGGGGTAAGTCTTTATAGTTGGAGAGCCCTGATTTTAGGCTGACAATGCTTTCCCACTGCTTTAACAAAAAAAAGCGAACCATCCCAATAACTTTTTTATCGTTCGCAGTTCTACTTACAACAGCCAACAATGAAGTTGACAAATAATATTTAATTGACTCGATTAAATTTGTAAATATTAAAACAATAATTAATAAAAATTGTAAAGTAAAAACTATGAGATGAATGAAAAAACGCATGAAGAGACTTACTGCACTATTGTAACGTGTCTTGTTGTTAATAACTCGTATGTTGATTCGAAAGTGGAAATCTTGTTCCCATGCTCTCGGGTGGTTTATCATCTTAGCTTTTTCTGCGCCAATGTTGCTTTTACTCATAATAATGACGCTTTGTACTCTTTACATTTTTACATTTCATAATCAAATTCGCTTGTCTCATTCATAAAATCATATTTATTTTTAATCTTGGGTCTCGGGTAGCTCAATGGTTAGAGCGGTCGCCTTTGCGAAAGATCGAGTTCTAGTCCTATTTTTTATTTTTTAATGCAAAACTGACAAAATATATTTTTCATTAAGAATAATTATGTTATTTATTTAATAGTATGTGTCAGTAAACAATTTTATTAAATCTATATTAGGGCTAATCTAATTACATGTTTATTTATGTAATAATTTTTAGTTACCCATCCTATTTTCGGGAATGATACTTACTACAACCATATCGCAGACCGACGTGCTAACCGCTGCTCCTTCAAGCTCTTAAAATCAAGTGTAGTTAGTTTATTTAGATAAAACCTATTTTTATGGTAATGAGATAATATGTTTAGTTTACGTTTTTAAATTCACACTCTTAATGTCACTGTTTATTTAAACATTAGTCATTTTTCTATATAACGCGCGTGTGATGTAGCTTCCGTTGGTGAAGGAATTTTCATGATGAAACAAAAAAAAATTAGAAACATTACTTCTTTAGAATAATTTAATAGACTACGTTTTGTTTCAGAAACAGTTTTTACATACTTTGGTCTGAAGGCTTGCATGTGCTTACTGAAACATCATATTTACGTACTACAGACTGTACAACTTTTCATTACACGGTTTCTATAGTTAGAACCAAGCTGGTTGTATTACTAGAGATAACTCAACTACATATTTACATAACTCTACATGCATTTATCGTTGCGGCCAGTGAATATATAGTCCAAGAGCCTATCTATAGATAACACCACGGAGTTCGTGAATTTGACTATGCCATTAATATTTTTTTTATTGAGAAATAAAAAAGGAAACATTTTGAACAACAACCAAAAATTGTTTCATAATATTAACGTAGCAATAATATTATTTAATAATAGCAAAAGTTCTTATTGATATAGTTCTCATATTTGGCATTTGGTTCGACTATCCAAATAGTTTAGTTAAATTCTTATTCACAAACGAATTTGATGCATTTTCAATTAGGTTTCTTGAGCTGAAGTTTTTATTAAATACCTAAATCTTTAATATATCACATCTCTGTATGATATAAAACAAGGAGAAAAGAGTAGTGCTTGCTGCGTTTCTTGCCTGTTCTTCTGAGTTTTGCCATCGGTTTACAAATCTACGGCGGGAAAACTCAGAAGAACAGGCAAGAAATGCAGCAAGCACTACTCTTTTCTCCTTGTTTTATTTCATACAGAGTTTTGATATCTTTAAGATTTAGGTATCTAGTAAAAACTTCAGCTCAAGAAACCTAATTGAAAATGCATCAAATTCGTTTGTGAATAAGAATTTAACTAAACTATTTGGATAGTCGAACCAAATGCCAAATATGAGAACTATATCAATAAGAACTTTTGCTATTATTAAATAATATTATTGCTACGTTAATATTATGAAACAATTTTTGGTTGTTGTTCAAAATGTTTCCTTTTTTATTTCTCAATAAAAAAAATATTAATGGCATAGTCAAATTCACGAACTCCGTGGTGTTATCTATAGATAGGCTCTTGGACTATATATTCACTGGCCGCAACGATAAATGCATGTAGAGTTATGTAAATATGTAGTTGAGTTATCTCTAGTTATACAACCAGCTTGGTTCTAACTATAGAAACCGTGTAATGAAAAGTTGTACAGTCTGTAGTACGTAAATATGATGTTTCAGTAAGCACATGCAAGCCTTCAGACCAAAGTATGTAAAAACTGTTTCTGAAACAAAACGTAGTCTATTAAATTATTCTAAAGAAGTAATGTTTCTAATTTTTTTTTGTTTCATCATGAAAATTCCTTCACCAACGGAAGCTACATCACACGCGCGTTATATAGAAAAATGACTAATGTTTAAATAAACAGTGACATTAAGAGTGTGAATTTAAAAACGTAAACTAAACATATTATCTCATTACCATAAAAATAGGTTTTATCTAAATAAACTAACTACACTTGATTTTAAGAGCTTGAAGGAGCAGCGGTTAGCACGTCGGTCTGCGATATGGTTGTAGTAAGTATCATTCCCGAAAATAGGATGGGTAACTAAAAATTATTACATAAATAAACATGTAATTAGATTAGCCCTAATATAGATTTAATAAAATTGTTTACTGACACATACTATTAAATAAATAACATAATTATTCTTAATGAAAAATATATTTTGTCAGTTTTGCATTAAAAAATAAAAAATAGGACTAGAACTCGATCTTTCGCAAAGGCGACCGCTCTAACCATTGAGCTACCCGAGACCCAAGATTAAAAATAAATATGATTTTATGAATGAGACAAGCGAATTTGATTATGAAATGTAAAAATGTAAAGAGTACAAAGCGTCATTATTATGAGTAAAAGCAACATTGGCGCAGAAAAAGCTAAGATGATAAACCACCCGAGAGCATGGGAACAAGATTTCCACTTTCGAATCAACATACGAGTTATTAACAACAAGACACGTTACAATAGTGCAGTAAGTCTCTTCATGCGTTTTTTCATTCATCTCATAGTTTTTACTTTACAATTTTTATTAATTATTGTTTTAATATTTACAAATTTAATCGAGTCAATTAAATATTATTTGTCAACTTCATTGTTGGCTGTTGTAAGTAGAACTGCGAACGATAAAAAAGTTATTGGGATGGTTCGCTTTTTTTTGTTAAAGCAGTGGGAAAGCATTGTCAGCCTAAAATCAGGGCTCTCCAACTATAAAGACTTACCCCGAGAAACAAGGTCGTGTGTGGCTACCAGAATAGGCCACGACAGGTGCTCAGTGCGTTTAGTAGGTGTTAACACGGCAGATCCAGTCAGGATTAACGACAAAAAAGTAATTGGTCAACCATTCTATCGCCGGCCCATACGAATTAAAGATTATTCTCCGCATCGTAGAATACGATACCTACTGCGCTATGACTCTCCAATGTTCGATAAATAAATATAAGCATAATAAAAAAAGTAGTCAAATCAGAAGATTCGCTCAACTATTCATCAAAAATTTTGAGTTTTTGCCTTTTTTGCTAACAATTAACTGGATATCGCAATTATATCACTTTTTTAAATATTTAGAGACACACTTCGAGCTCCGGAGTTTTCATTCTAAGCATCGAAACCCAATTCTAGAACTGAAAATATGTTCCGATTTTCAAACCCGAACATTAAATTAAATTTTAAAATTGGAACGTAATTATACTTATAGCTAGCGCGTAATTGTTCGAAACAATGTTTTCCCATCGATCTGTTCTCACTAGGTGAGATAATATTCAATAATAGCGAACTAGGTAATATACTTACAAGAAAAACGAGGGCAAGTTTACAAAAAGCTGTAAAAATCTGTTCGGAGCGAGCTCGCGCGATTTCGTCATCAACCTCCTTTTCGGCTCATAAAAATAGGTAAGAGTCGGTGCAATTCATTGCGTTTGTTTATGGAAACCTTCTCGTTTTTAGTTTAATGTGCAATATTTCAAGAATATGTTTTTTTTTTATAATAAAGTCGAGAAGAAAAATTTCGAAATCTTTTAGAGTGCCATTAATCTTTTAAATGGAATAAACAGCGGTAAGTTAAATTTGATTTTAATATTTATTAAATTACTCGTTGACGAGTATTATATTGTTTTTGCTTTTCTGAATTAATTTGTTTGTATTTTATCGAAAATTTTAAGCAAACGCCAGATAGAAAGTTTTTTATATGCTCTAATGAACCACCTCAGAAATTAAGTTAACTTATATTATTATTATTATAAGCACTATTTCAAAAACTTTCCAAGAGACAATTTAGATAAACAACCCGTTAATCATATAGAAGTACCTAGCTCATAGAGAAGCCATTGGTAAGCACATTCGATCTGTGATGTCGATCTAAAGCAACTTTTGTAATGATCGATCATAGGATGATTGACCAAAAATCTATTATTCTAAAGCTTTCTTCATGATTTGGAAGGCACGATAAGACGTGGTTCTCGATTGCATCCAACCCATGGACCATTCTTGCTATTCAATTTAATCGATTCCATCCATAGAAAAAGTCTGTTCCCCAGCAGTTGGTGACATTAATACCCTAATGATGATGACCTAGCCCATGACGAAAGGTTTCTATTTCGCTATGTACCTACTCGTATATAATAATTAACTTTGTTCTAACACTCAAAGTCGTTCACATTGTACAAATGTGCGGAAGTGTAGCAAGGTCGCATAGTGCCCGCGGCGTAACGTTTCACACATATGATATTTAAGGACATATAAATTTATGGGACACCGATGAAAAGTGTCGTTTTTAATTTATTTTGCTACTAGCTGTACTGCCGCGACTTTGTCCGCGTTAATAATAGCGTTTGCCATTCGCTTTTGATGTCCTGTAGGTGAAAGAAATGATCGGTTCAGCATTTACGAAGATTACCGCCTACAAACGAACGAACAAAGTTAGAAACTTTGTGTCTTTATAATATTAGTATTGGTGGAATTCGAGCAAACGATTAAGAAAAATATCCTATCGTTAATATAACTTTGAAAGGGTATATATTATAAAATGTTATACTTTATATAGTAGTAGTTTGATTATTTAAAACCGGCTTGCCTAGTTAAATCAGGGTCTATCACTGTTAAATAATATTTACAGTGCATTCATTTTTGTTCGTACACAAAAGCCATATGCGTACCTGCATCGCGCTAACAAAGTTTTTGTAATCTGCAACCATATAACAGTCCCTATTATATACCGCTGTCTTTGGTTGATCCGGAATGGTACCGATGCGGATACACCCACACCAGTGGAAAAGGGAATGCAACTTTCCAACAGTCGATACGGTAGACGATGAGCCTGATTGTGTGTGGTGTGCCCACCTCTATATTCGAATAATTCGCCCTTCCGATGGGGTTCACAAAATCATAATATATATTTTGATGTTTATTTAATTTTGTTTTTGAAATTGAAGTCTATTCTTATAATTGACACTGAGCTTTGTGCTGTATTATCAAGGGACGTCACGATTCTTGAGCGTATAAATAAATTTTTAAAATTGGTTTAATAAAAAAAAATTGAAATTATATACACAATAATCATAATGTTGCAAATCGTATAATTTACATACCAATCGTTCCTGGAAACCAAGCACATAGCGGGTTACGTTGTAGGTCCGAGCTGCTGTTCCCCACTCTGATCTCCAGGTCTTGCAGCGGCTGATGACCTGTGGAATAGATTTTATATATGAACGACAATTAGGAAACTCAACATAATGTTAGATACTTTAATACTGGAAAAATGTCATGGCCCTCCTTATAAGAAAACAATACCCAACGCGTACATATTTAAAATGAGATGGGAATGAATTACAGAAAGGTGTTTTGAGAAAAGTGTACTTTACATCAGTGTATTTCGAATTAATGCGGTAATTGGTGTAATTATTAAACTACAAATTTTCAATAACAACAGAATTTTGAATTTTACCTCTCTGCCACCCAGAACTGCCTTGCGATGCTGTAAAATCTAGACCCGCATTCGAATTCAGTGTAGAAAATCTATAGATTCCATTTTTTGTATAAAAATTGAAAAAGAAAAAATGATTGAATATACGTTTCTCAGTAATTCCATTCCTTTGTCATTTCTAACCTCACTTCACTTATGCCACGAAACGTTATTAATCGTACCAATGCCGCTTTTTGAAGTGCACTCAGACACCTGAGGGTATTTGAATTCTGGTTTGGATATTTACAGAATCGCAGAGCTAATCAGATACTACAAAAACTTATGTCCTGAGAAGACAAGATATAGAAACCCTCGTATATGAGAAAATCTAATAGATATTCGTGAGAAAATTAGATTCATTCTCTTTCAAAACATAACTAGACAGGTATAACTGTCGTTGTTAAAATAACTGAATATTAAAAAAAAAAATACAAGTTAGTAACTAAAATAAAACATTTAAATTTTGTTTTCTTTTTTGGGGTAAAAAATTAATAATGTAATTAGAAGGGCGACCATCTCATCTCATTAGGTAAAACAATTCAAAATTTTAATTCGCCGCGGGGAGATTTGCCGTATTTAATTTTAAAAGTTTGCCCGTTAGTATAGTCTTTAAAAAGTCAAATTTATTTAAATAATTTTACATTCGTTATTGACCTTGTTTTCACTCGTGCCCACACGCGTGCGTTGTCGCATATCGAACATGCTTGTTTACTTGTATAATAATATTGTTATGACATTAAACTTTCGTAATAATCAGTGCCGTATTAAGATTACTTGATGGCCTAAGCAATTCTGTACAACCCCCCTGAACCCCCCTCTATCGTCGCATAAACTATAACACGTATGAATAAACTTGCACCCGGGGTCTATTATATTTGTTCTAGAACCAACACTTGAAAAATTTTGTTTAAATCATATCTATGAAGATTATCTGTGCATCAAAGGTAGTGTCAGGTCCTAACATTGTTGCATTATAAATTATTTCGGCAAAATAGACCCAGCAGTAGAGGGCTAACCTCATCGAGTGTCCATGGCGGCAATAATATTTTTCCAACTGAGACAGAAAGTTGATAGTGATACGTTTACGTTATACTATAAAATACATTTATACCAACATAACGAACCAAATCAAATTGAAAACTAAACAACAGTTACATTTCGTTTTGTTAGTTGTTAAGAAAAAATTGCTTGTTCTTTAAACTATTTCAATCAACGATTCGAATCAAATTATAATGGACTTAGAGAGTTTTAAAATGGCCGTCGTAATCGGTTTTATTTAACAGATAGTAATTGAAAGCATTCTCTCACGGTTCTTTATTTTATCTTAAGCTTTTCATTATGAATGTATGAACGGCAATTAACTGTCGGAAAGTCTCATTAACTGTGAATGCGTCTTTATATTCGAGTACTCATTATATAACTACAAATCTTGTCAGTGTCGGGTCACAAGCCGGTTGTTAGGCGCGAGGGCCCCGGGGCGCAATGGATATCGACACATATATAAAAAAACTGAAAGAAGTAAACATTAATTATAGAATTTACCGCAATACCTTAATGTTTATTATACTTTTAAGCAGTAGGTAATTTGATAAAATAGTCTCTAAGACAGGGAGTGCTTGTTGCCTTAAAATTCGCAAAATACCTAGCTTATTTTCACTAGTCGATAGAGTCGGCACAATGAGCGTGCTCATCTCATTTATATAATATAAAAGGCAAACCTGACTGACTTATACATATATCAACGCTTAGCCGAAATACAGAAACTTAAAATTCATCACATAAAATTCACAACATGATCTATAAGCAAGGGTTTTTAGAAATTTAGCCCCTAAGGGGGTGAAATATTGGGTTGATATTTATATGGTTCACGCGGGCGAAGCCGAGGCTTGTGTCCAACAAGTGAAAATACAGGTTTTTGTTATATCTTCGAAAAATATGAACCATTTCAACTTATAAATGTTTAACAAAACAAATTTTAAGTCAATGATTTGGAAAATATTACGCTTTGGAAACTTGAAAAAGTACAGAAAATCTACTACAAAAACCTGCTAAAATACATAAGGCTTTAAATTAGATATAAAAAATGTTACAACTTTCATTATAACAGCTATAAACATAAACGCACAAATAACAAAGATATTACAAAAAATGTCCAGACGCCCATACATTTTTCGCTACTGTAGCACCATGTGACGTCACTGAGTGCTTTGAATTTGTAGGGAGCGTTTTCGGCCAACTAGCGGCAGTTCTACAAACACAGCACCGTATCTCCGAAACTATTAATCGCAGACATGCTGTTACTTCGACATTATTTCTCAGATGTTAATGGACTATTTATTTATGAAATAAAAAAAAGTTGTCAACTAGCCTATTACCGACCAATGAAAGCGAGGAACGAAATCGAACGAAACGCCGCACGCGGATTTCATAGATCTGTGTATACGCCATAATCTTAGTTTGTAATAATAATTATTGTCTGCAAGTACCTACTAGTTAGAGGAATGTAAATAATGCATTTACATACATAAATAATATATTACTAACGAGTATATAAATTCTTTGAAAAAATAAACCCCTTTGAAATTTTCAGTTTTCTAATATAGCTGAAGAGCTCAGCACGTGTACAGGGTAGCTTCAGATTTAATTGGACGAGTTATTCAGCTTTCATTACTTTTACGGAGCATTCATTCGCTAACATCCAACTATTTTAAATTCATTTGCGGAAAACACGCGCCAGGGAAAGCGCTTTGAAGTGGTATACTTCATATGTACGAGAGAAATTTCGTTGAAACATTTTCTATTTGTGAAAATGTTACACATTTTTTGTGAATGTATCCAAACATCCAAACTGATTAAGGCATCATGTACACTTTTGCAGTATCTTTTAAAAATATCAGAACAGATATTATTCTATACAGAATAATATCTGTTAAAAAACACGACGTCGAGTGACGGCACAGAGGTTATGAAATAAAGCCTTTTTACATTTTGAGGTATGTTTTGTTTGAGTTCAAGGTTGTTTTTATAATGGCATCTAGAGCGAGATATCAATGTAATGTCGCGCATCGTCACGAATGAGAAAATAGTACACTGTATGACAGTCATCTTTGCAGACTCGACGAATGTAGGATCTTTCTTCAGATTCGCACATTGATCTTATTTGCTTATACTGTTTGCGTAGGAGGGATATTTACTGGAGGTAAATATCCAATTCCCTAACTGAAAAAACGTGTATTTATTAATATTGCAATGACTTACCACAGCATCCTCGCGTCGTCACCCTGACTACTTTGACCGCATAGTGCCTCAGTAGGTCAACCTGCCACCACGGAGACGCCTCCCTTTGAGTCTCCGTGCATCTCTTGCCGTCATGTTCCGTGGTCTTCTCACCGTCATTACCGTTAGCGGCGGCGCCACCTCGAACTGTGGTGGATTGGTTAGCAGGCTTTCTGAAGGCGACGTTGGTTCCTGTTTAGAAACAAAAGCAATACAAAAGAAATTGAATGGTATGGTTATCCGAAATATGTGTTTTGTGTCAGACTCTTTTATTGATATTAGAATGACAGTTGTATAATTAAAATCCTTATCTATTAGTAAAGTGCTGCTTTCAATAACATCATCAGCATATTTTCGTCCTCTACTGGATATAGACTTCTCCAAGCGCAGGTCAAATATCGTCTTGCCATCTAGTATGAGCGTCCCGTGCCACATCCTACTCAGTGGCGTAGCTACTAAGGGGCTAGGCGGGGCAATGCCCCGGGACCCTCAAGCTCAGGGGGCCCTCGAATCTTTACCAGAAAATCTCAATCGAACTCAACTTTTGAAAATTTCTCCCATTTTCAAAATAAATATGACAAGTGACAACTCGAGTTTAATCATGGCAACTCAGTTGTGAGAAATTCCAAAGTTATAAAAAGGGAATTCCCCTAAATTATTTGTGTGGGTTGAAAGTGTTATTAATGTTTTCATCAATTTGTCGGATATCAATAGCTGCATATTATTATTTATCGATATGCGTTTTTTGTGACACGCGATTGTAAACTTCGAGTCAAGATTTTTTTCGAGAATGGTTAAAAACTTAATGTACCTATCAGGACTAAGTAAGCGTATGTCAATAAATTTTTTGTACTGGTCCATACAAAAGTTCAATTTTATTTGATTATAGTACGTATACATAGTTACGTTAAGAAATCGATAGATTTCGGCTACTCACTATATAACTCAAAATACCGTGCAAAATACAAGTCACATGCGATAGGGGGCCGTCCATTAATTACGTGATGCTTTTTTGTCATTTTTTAAACCGTCAAATGTGGTAATACTGGCAGCGATAAAATGTTTGCCGGCGATTCCCCAACGACGTCTTGTATCGTATCATTACGTTTCGCTTTCCTTTTACTTGTAACGTTGTCAGTGAACAGTGAGTACCTACTTGAGTAAATTTATTTATGTTTATACATAAATAAATTAGAAAACAGGACAAAAAAAACCCAGTGGGGCATTTAAACGCAAACAACGCCAAGAAAGAGAAGAAAGTAAACTAACTAAATTGCCCAAAATTGACAAGTTTTTTAGTCAGCCTTCTGCAAGTACTTCTGGACAAAATATATCAATTGATAATTTTTGTAAATAGCTTGCATGGCGATAGGTTAAGTAACAGTAAGCTGGTGCAACGTATCTATGAATAAATAAATATATAATAAACCCTTGAATTTTCTCTATTTCGTTTAATTGCCCAATACCTTTTTTTTTTTTTTTTTTTTTTTTTTTTTTTTTTTTTTTTTTTTTTTTTTTTTTTTTGACGCTGAGAAATGCTTTACGCATACCCGCTTCACCCTGCGCGGGCTCCACGGGTGATGTGGGACTCCTCCTGTGGCCCCACCCCCGAGGGGGCTAGACAAGAAACGGAAGTTTACCCACTAAAACTCAGCGATGTCCCTCTCATGGTGGGCGAGGCGCGGGATCAGCCCGGAGGCCATACACCGCGCAGTTCGCCCCCATTTCGGCCCGCCCCGAAAAGGGCAGGTCCCACTCGGGTTGGGGGTAAGCCTCAGAGACATTCGAGACGCACCCCCACGACGAGGCAGAAGCGTGCAATGCCGACCGGTGCGCGAACCGGCCAGCTGCCCCTGACTAGAGACCAGAGATGCGCAACTGTGCAATCTCCGGTCCCCTACTCATCGTGTTGGGAGGGCCCACACAGGCATAGCCCTTATCGTGGACCCTCCCCCCCGTAGGTCGATGCGCCACAGAAGACCAGCCTCATTACTCCCTGTATCAGCCCCGAAGGGCAGACAGGGGCGTCCAGCCAGTCGACGGGTCGCATCCCCTCTCGTCGCGCCGCGGCTACGGCCCTACCGAGGTCCCGGCGCCGCACCAGTCGTCGAGCAAGCACAGCAGGCAAGTCCCCGGTAAGTACCCAGGTAAGTACCCACTATGCTACTCTAGACTAGTACGGCGTGTATATGTGTGTGTAAGATGTATGAATGTGTGTGTGGAAGTGTATGTATGCCAGTGTATGTGTAGCTGTGTATGTGTGACTGTATGTGTATGTGTTGTGTAGGGTAGAGTAGATTGTGTGTATGTGTGTGTATAATGCATGTAAGTGTGTGAAACCAGGACCCCGACAGCGCCGCAGCCGCGGAGCGAAGGGAACTCCCCTCCCCACTATTCAGTAGGGCACCTCCCAAGTTCCTCTCACCTCGAAGCCGCCTCTCCCTGTCCTTTCGCACTCCTCCACCTTTGCCTGGCGAGAAGAGAGAGACAGACAGCAATGAGACCGGTCCAGTCTGTGCACCTTATTGTGCTCTCCACCCAGACGAGCCCCCGGCCGCACACATGCGAAAGCATGTATGCGGACGCGGACTCGCCCAGGACGGAAAACGCAGACCAGACCGAACGAAGAACCCGGGGTAAGGGAGTCAGACCTCAAGACGGGGGTGGGCGCGCGTAGCGACGCCTTCTACCCCCCGTCCTACGACTGCGGCGAGAGCCGGCGAGGGCTGCCAGCTCGCGTGCTCTCTCCGCGTCCTCCTTCTGTGACATCACGGTCTCGCAGAAGGAGGAGACCGCCTCCCAGGACCTGCGGCTGCCCAACACGGACCGAACCACGTTGGGGAGAGACAGGTCCTGGCCCACCACCAGCGTCAGTGCGTACCGCTGGGAGGACCAAGCACTGCACACCTCCAGGGTGTGCTGCGCAGAGTCCTCACCAGCACCGCAGTGAAGGCATAGTGGTGCGTCCTCTCTGCCTATCCGGTACAGGTATCTAGCGAAGCAGCCGTGCCCCGTGAGAATCTGCACCAGATGAAAGGTGAGCGTTCCGTGACGCCTTTCCCTCCAGTCCAGGAGGACCGGTTGGATGGCGAGCAGAGTTCGGACGCCGGCGGAAGAAGATTCGAGTGAGTACGACCACTCTACCATGAGGGTCTCCTCGAATCGCCTACGCACTGCTACCATTTCGACCGGGGCAAGGCGGTCACCCCGGGCGAGAGACTCCCTTCGAGCCTTATAAACCTCCGTGAGAAGCTTGGCCTCCAGCTCCCACGGAGGCATGCCAGCCAGTGCGCAGGCTACCGCACCAGAAACGGTTCGGTAGGCCCTAATGGCTCTGTTCGCGATGGCCCGCTGGGGTCTCCTCAGCAACGCCCTGTTATGGGCGTTGAGGGAGTCAACCCAGACCGGCGCGCCGTACAGAGCCATGCTCCTAACCACACCCGCAAACAAACGACGACACACGTCGTTTGGTCCACCCAAATTGGGCAGCAGTCTGCCTAAGGCGGTAGCTGTTTTCTCCAACTTTGGGGCCATCTGGACGAAATGATGGGTGAAATTCCATCTACTGTCGATCCAGAGGCCCAAGTACTTCATGTGTGGGTCGATACAGATCCCCACCCCGTTCACCCTCAGGTGTGGGTCAGGCGGCAGCCTATATCGTGGTCCGTGGAACAAAACCGCCTCTGTTTTGTCCACGGCCACTTCCAGTCCCAGCCTCTTAATGCGCTCAATGGTGAGCTCCGTCGCAATTTCCGCGAGGCGCTTCGTGGAACTGTACGTGTCCCCCCGCGCCGTGACGAGCGTGTCGTCTGCGTAGCATACAACACTCGTCCGGGGGAGGAGCGACCCACGGAGCACCCAATTGTACCCGAGGTTCCACAGAAGTGGTCCGAGGACGGACCCCTGTGGAACCCCGCGCACCATACGTCTAGACACCGCACGACCAGAGTCATCGATGTACACTACCTCCCTGTTACGGAGGTAGTCAGAAATCACCCTGCGTAGGTAGGCTGGGACCCTGTGGTGGATTAGGGCATCCTCGATACACTGAAAGGGGAGAGAGTTGAATGCATTTCTGATATCAAGTGATACCGCAATCATCAACTCTCCCCTCTCATTAGCCCTATTACACTCTTCTTTGAGTTTCAGTATGGCGTCCACCGTGGACCTATGGCGGCGGAAGCCATACTGTTTCTCAGAGAGGTCTGGCCCGACAGTCCCCAGGTGCTGGACGATACGGTCTGCTACTATTCTTTCAAATAGCTTGCAGACCTCGTCCAGCAAGACTACAGGTCTGTAGCCCGAGGGGGAGTCCGCTGGCTTATTCTCCTTCCTGAGGAGAACTAGCCTGCCCTTCTTCCAGCTACTGGGGAATCTGCCCTGCTCCAGACAGCTGTCTAGAAGGGACTTGATATGCATCCCCAGATGCTTTGAGGCTATTCTCAGGACCTTGCCAGGGACTCCGTCGGGGCCAGGGGCCTTTCTCTTGAGCCGCAGTCTCTCAAGGGCGTCCTCCATTTCCCCATCCGTGACCGGGGAGTGGGTTCTACCAGCTCTCGCCACGTAGTCTGGAGGTAAGAGAGAAGGAACCACCGGGGTCTCGCTAGGGAACAGAGCAGAAACCACTCTGTTGAGAAGAATCCTATCCATCTGATCCGTGGAGGGTGGATGCTGCCTCATTCTATTTCGAATGAGTTTGTATGGTCGCCCCCACGGATCTCTACTCAGGTCACTTAGGAATTCTTCCCAGGCACTCGACTTTGCCCTACATATAGAGTCCCTAAGCGTCCGCTTTGCCTCAGCATAGTCCCTTTTCAAGTTGCTCTCCTCCTCCAGACTACGCCTTCTTCTCCTACGATTGCGGAGCAAGGCCCTTCTTTTAGCCATGCACTCTCGCCTCAGCCTCTCCAAGTCAGGACTCCACCAGTACACGTTGGTACGTTGAGTGTGGCCAGCTGAGCGAGGCATAGATGCGTCACAGATTGTCGAAAGTGAATCTCTGATCAGCTCCGCCCTCGTATCCACGTTCGAGACTGGTCCTTGGGTGTCCAGAACCCAGGATTGCACCATGGCAGCCTCCTCTACCATAGTGATATCCATTTTGGCGAGAGCCCATCTGGGAAAATGGAAGCTCCCGCCAGAACCGGTCGATTGGATGTTCCTTGTTGGAGGAGAGATCACAAATCTGATGTACTTGTGATCAGATAGTGTCTCTTCCTCCGTAAGGACCCGCCATCCGTTGACTCTGTTTGCAAGGGCAGGGGTCGCAAATGTGAGGTCAACTATGGAGCCCACGGTCACCCCACGAAGCCGCCTCACACAGGTGAATTCGCGACCCCTGTTCAATATTTCGAGCCCTGACGACGTCGCCCAGTTGAGGATCAGGTTGCCCTTTATCGAATTCCTGGGGGAACCCCAAGCCGTGTGCTTGGCATTGAAGTCCCCCAAGATAAGCATGTGCTGAGAGGCTAATCGACCAACAGCCGCCCCCAACCTGTGTACCCACTCCTCGTACTCCGCGAAAGGACGCGTTGGGGAGAAGTACACACCAATTACAGTAATCCCTCCCCACATGATGGCCACGTAACCCGACCCCCTCTCCCTAAGCACGAAGGGGGGGGAAAAGGCAGCAGTGGAGGGGATCACTATGGCGACTAAGTTGTCTGTATCTGCCACCCAGTTATTGGACTGGGGCACCATATACGGCTCGGCAAAAACTAGCAAATCCGCCCTCTCCCTGGCGGCGCTCTGGAGTATGAGGTCCTGAGCACCCGCACAGTGATTGGCGTTGCTCTGGAGGAAGTTCACTGGGGATTTATCCATTAACTGGATTGTGAACGACCTCCATAGCCATCTCCGGCTCCCTCATGGATTTGCTAGTTTTGCCCCTTAGGTTAGGCTTAGGTCTAACCTTTGGAGAGGCACAACTCTTCCCTCCTAGTGTGTGATTATGGCGCAGCCCAGCCTCTTCACAATTTACACACCTGGGCGTCGCCGTACAATTAGCGGCCCTATGCCCAGGAGCACTACATCTGAAACAGAGTGCGCTCCTGTCAAACTCAGAAGGGCACTTCTGTCTTGTGTGTCCTACACGCATGCATTTGTAGCACTTAAGTGGAGGCGGCTCCAGTATGCGTGTACGGACACTGCTCCATCCAATTAAAAGCTTGCCTGCTGTAGCGACTGCTTTGGCCGCTACCACAGGACAGCTAATTATTACCGTATGGAGACCACCCGGACCTACGCCAAGCTTCCCCACCCTGACCTGACTCTCAAGACATCCGCCTTGTTTTGCGATCGCCTGAGCGATGTCCTCTGCTGTAACGGAGTCATCAAGATCTGTGATGCGCATGCTGACGCACATCACAGGTCTTGTAACTTTTGCCAGACCCTCTAGTGCCGTAGCGAGACTGGACCTGAACAGTTCGACTTTCTCCTCAGGGACAGTTTTCGGGAACTCAAATTTTCTCGCCCCCGTGGCAGTGATCCCCAGCTTCAGTCCCTTGGGATCGATACCGATGTTGGTCAGGTCTACTTCCTTCTTCGCTTTCGTAATCACCCGAGCGTACGTCCTTCCAGCCTCTTCGCTCTCGTCGCCCCCAATGTCGACAACCACAACCGAGGTTTTGGGAGCCTTCACCTTCCTCTTCTTCGGGGTCTTTTTCATTTTGGGGGAGGAAGACATGGAAGTGCCCGAAGAGTTTTGCATCCTCGAAGAGTAGGGAGGGTTGGCAGCCGCAGCCTGGGCTGCTTTTGCTTTCCTCCTCTTGGCCTTACTCGTCACCTTGACCCAGCCCTCCTGAGAAGGTTGTGCCTGTGCCGATTTTGAGGCAGCAATTGAGGCACATGTGGGAGGCGACGTGTCTGGTCTATCATTCGCCTTCTTCTTGATGGAAGAAGAAGGGGGGGAGGTGGAGGGGTTGGTCTGTTTCGCAGGACTACCTTTAGCATTCCCCTTCATCTTTTGCTTAGTCTTAGCCTGTGTGGACTTGGATGAACCCTGCCCCGCATTGGGAGAGTTCTCCGTAGTGCCCTCACTAGAAGGTCGCATAATTTGCCGGAAAGCAACCCTCGTCGCACTATCCGACGCCAAAGGAGGTCGGAGGGCGTTCAACGGGATGAGCCGGTCCTCGATACTCCTGAACTTAAATTGCCCAATACCTACAACAAGTATCAAAATAATTGTAATTTATGTTGTTAGTGTTTAATAGTTTTATTACCTGCCCATGCACGAAAAAGAGCTAATGATAAAGTTGCTTAGCATTTTTAAAGTATTTGTATATTTAATGACTTTACTTCAAAAAACCTTAGCAGTTTTGATAGCAGTGGGCCCAATTTTTTTTATTTGCCCCAGGGCCCTAGGTTACCTAGCTACGCCACTGATCCTACTGTTGACTTTTTTGGCTTTTAAGTAAATACACGTAACAAACTTTTTGAACTAAATTAATAAAAGACCTATCCTTTATTTATATGCTAATTTTATAAGATCATCTTAATACATTTGCATAAAAAATCACAAAATTCCCTTTAACGTCAACGTTGGCTTCAGTTCTAACTTCTCAACTGTTTATGTGACAGTATACATACCACAAAAAGGCTGTTCCGATGTCCAATCGCCTCTTAAGGTGCACTCCCGCTGGTGAGCTCCGAACAACTCGTAACCATCGTCACAATCGTATGTGGCAACCGTCCCTGGGATGATTACGTCAGCTGAAAGGGACACACGAGCGTTCGGCGGGACAGCTGGATGCCCACACTGCCTCTCTACTGTAAACAAAAGAAGTGGTTAGGTTAGGTTAGGCTTGGATATATCTATTAAACACGGTGGTGATAGAGAAATTAAATATATTTGGCTAATTCCGAATTAATTTGGGACAGCCGTAAGGATAAGACGATGATATATTCTCTTTTTGATTCGAAAGACCTCTTTTATTTGGATCCATAGTCAAAGTATATAAATAAAAAAATCCTTTTAAAATGTGTTTCAACTGATATTTGAAGAACACCGGCTTTATACGTTAACATTATCATAATATAATGTCAGTGCATGGAGAAAACTTTTCTAAGTGAAATACAAGGAAAAGGGAAATATAATCTACCACGGTACCTTTCGCTTTAGTGGTCACCGATCTGACGCTGTTGAAATTATAATACTGTGTTGATTAATATTTTTATATAAAAACAATTTATTTAAATGTATATGAGAAAATCTTTGAACAGCTCGATGAAGCAGTGGTTCGCGAATTTTTTTCTGGAAGTAAAGCAAAAAAATATCCAATTCACGGTCACTTTCATACATTACGAATAAAATATTAAACAGATTTTTTACGAAAGTATCAGACATTTATGAGACTGTCACTGATTAAAAAAAAAAAACATAAACGGTTTTTCAAAGGAAAACGCGTTTTGAAAAAGAGATTTCTATTAAATCTAACGCAACGTAAACAATGAAGTCTCTGTTTCGCGAATAGAAGTCGAGAAGCAGGCATATAACAGTGCTATTAAGTAATGAATGCATTTCATTTGAGCGATATTTATATTACGGAAGTAATTCTTGTGATTGCTGCAGCTGCCGCTTGCACGCCACTTTTATATAACTTGATGGAATTCTTAATAATCTCTCTCATGTATGTACATATGTGTTTCGTTTATGAATTCCTGTCTAATGGTTTGTAAAATCGTTAAACGTTATGATTTTCAGCCGTTATCAGTTGTTTTTATATTTAGGGTAAGCAAATTTACGAAGTCCGGCCATAGGATAGGTGACCAATAATATTATCTCGAATTCCTCCGTGTCTTTGGAAGGCACTTGGTCTCTTGCGCTGTCCCTTTTCGGTTTCATTAACTTATGTATATTATTATCCACTTGTGAAAACTATGATTGTGAATAAAGCAGGTACAGAATAAAAAAACTTATTTAAACAAATAATTAAAAATTGGAGTGTCTTCAAAACTTCCAAAAAAGAGGAACCCTCATTTTGAGTTCGAATATTTGGCTGTATGTTTTGTTACGCGATTACTCCGCCATTTATTGACCAAATTTAAAATTATTTTTTTATTCGACAGCTTAATGGACCAAGGACCATTGACCATTGGACCATTTATTGAAATCGAATCAATAGTTTTTTATATCAAAACAAAATAGCTTTTCATCACACATATCAACTAAATGTTTCGATAACATGTTTAGAACAGCGAAAAAACAAAAGCTATTCTTTACATTTTAAATAGGATATGTTCACCGATTTTTCATGAATTTTGAACCAATTTATATCAAACTAGCTGTTATAATATTTTAGTGATACATATACAAAATATTTATTGTAATAAATAAGTAAATATAGGTATAAATACAACCTAAAAATGATTAAATAACTTTTTTTTTCATTAGAACTGACATCAAACTTTAAAAAACGTGGAAAATAGTACAAGATTAGTATTATTTTTAATTTTTTAAAAGTGGTTAATTTTTTTAAGAAACAGATAAGTCGGCCGGATGTCATTTAATAAACTATGGAAAATTTTACCGCTTTTAAGATAACTATTATTTTTCATTTTTTTAAAGTTTGAAGTAAGTTCTATTATATGTTTTTTTACTGAATGCATATGTATACAAGGCGATTTAGCCGATTATCTGTCTGTCTTTCTTTTTATTCCGGCTAATCTTTGAAATGGCTGAATTGAATTAGACGGGATTGTCACTGGCAGATAGCATATGTAATTTGGAACAACTTAGGAAACTTTTCACGTGGACGAAGTCGCGGGCACAGCTAATAGTTTATAAACTGTCTTCATATGAAAGAAGGACTTTACAAGAAACAGCAATTGCGCATTAGAAACTTTCCCGTGACTGGCGCGAGTGGGCCAAACAGATGTCGTAATGCATTTTACAAATGAATATTACGCATTTTAGAGCATTTACACTAAAAAAAGTGATGGGAAGCTGTCATTGTATCTGTTTTGTTCTCATAATAAATTGCATAACAAGGAAATAGCGAGCTTTCGTAATATTAAAAATAGTTAAAATCATTGTGAGTCGTGAGCGTTCACCGCAAATCTTTGTCTTTTACTCACATTCTGAATGTAACTAGTCCACTACTCGATTACAAAGAGAAAATTTAATAATTCTTAACAGTAATAGCTCAATGTATTCGTTTCGTAGCGATTCGGTCCGTAACCTTCATAAAATTATATTTATGCTATTATGATATGTTAGTGACTCAACTACGCTTATCAAGAGCACAATAGGCTAAATAAAATCTAAAATTTCTCCACTCGATTACAGGTACATATTGAGGAAAAAGTTGAAATTCAACTGTGGCTTGATATATTATAGTAATGAGACCGACCTATTTATCTATATACTAAATGTTTTTCCGCGACTTGACATGCGTAAATTATAGCCAATGTCACTTGCGTATGATGTAACTTATAGAATGCATGTTTTTTATAAATTATGATAGAAATAAACATTATATTAATAAATAAAACTCACACTATAGAAGTATAAACTTTACCTACATACCTAAACGATACTCTACCCTATCGAAATAATGTTTAAGGTCGAATTTCGATTGCCAGACCACCACTAGTTTAATATGCAAACGTTTCGGCTAACCGTAAAAGTATTTATTGCGTAGTACCTAATATAAAAATGTTGAGTGAAAAATTCCAATTCGTCATGCAAAAGTATCATAATATTATCAATAGTATCTTGTGATATCTAAAATCCCGCCTACATAACGAAAAGTGCATTATATACAAGTTTTCTTTTGCATGCGAAGCTATACGTCGTTGTTTTACGTATTTATTTATTGATTGATCTTCTATGGTTAATTGTGTTTTTATTTCTATACTAAAATTCGAGAGGAAAGAATAATTATTTGTCTGCGTTAACTCCCTAACTACAGACCTTTTTTTAAAATATTTTTCACCTACAGCAAGCTTATGATGTCGCTTAAAAGCACCTATTTTCATATATTTAACGATATTTTTTAAATCCTGAATACAAACTCGTAACCTTTTGCTTACAAAAGTAAGCAGTGTGATATCACAGATATATTAATATGTATGTATATAACTATTATAGATATACAAAAACTAACGTGGTACTGAAAAAATGCTCTCTAAGTTCCAAATCGATTTCCCCTTTATAAGGATAGAATTGAAAAGGGAGAATGGGCCATGACACGCGGGCTCAGAGCGGATTGGGGAGTTTTAACGACTGCAGACACAGCTGGCCAGCGGATTAACGTGCATGTCGAAGCTACAGTCTACTTTTTAGTCACCCATCCGATAATCGTCCCTCGCGAAAGTTACTTAACTTAAATACCGTTGACTGAACCCGCTAACCACTATGCCATCGAGCTCATTCAAGCAATCGATAAAATATTAAACTATTTGCTAAAGTACCTAGAACGACATGATTCCAAGTTATTTTAGCGTCAGCATTGTGTGGACATGTGCCGAAAATTGGATTCTCAACAGCTTTGTAGTAGTAGCCTGTTTGCCAACCACAGAGAAGTCACATGCTCTACCGATTGACCTATACAGAGCTTAACGAGATTGTCAAACGCAATGTAAGCACTAATACTGAAGCCGTAGATTGTTTAAGCTAGGATTGTAACGACTACCGTTTTACACTTTACATTCCTTGTTTTTACATCTGAATCATCAATAACCCGTTGGCGTATTGGATAAGCGCTGTGACCCATGATAGTTGTCGTTGAGCAACTTTCGCAAGGGTCGGTCACGGGTTGGGTGACCAAAAAAATATCATCTCGAGCTATTCCATGACGCGGAAGGCGTGTGGAGCCGTTAGTCCTGGCTGCATTTGCAGTCTTTAATACCCCTAATATGCATTGGGCCAGCGTGAAAGCTCAAGGCTCATCTTTCTTAACGATCCATAAGGAGGAACTGAGCACCTGCAGTGGGGTCGCAAAAGGGCTGATGATGATGATGTATTAATCATTTATATAGTTATTGTTAAGCTGGTGCCCGTAGAGATGCAACTCGAATAGGATTTCATGACTCGAGTCACTTGAGCCAATTGACTACCTCACTCGAGTCATACTATTAAAGAATAATAATTTTAAAGAAATACATACATATTATAAATAAAATATACATTAAAAGATGTTTGACATATTATTTAGGTAAACAAGGGAATAAAAAATAAACGTCATAGATTAATAAATTAGAGTAGCAAAGTGACATCTAGTGTCAAGAGAATCGTCTCGGTACGCCGAGTTGATTCAATAACTCGAGTGCATAGAGACTAGATAAATATTTTTTTTTCACTCGAATACGAGTTTGAAAAATTCATTCGAGTAGCCAGAGTATAAACAGGACTTGAGTCGAATTACTAGGTGCCCGTTACTTCTCTCGCATAAGCTTTACGGATAGAAAAATGGGTGTTTTTCATTCCAAAATTCTACAGCCTGCTGAAGGTGTTAAGTGTATCAACAAAAATACTTGAACGAATAAAGAATTATTATTATGTACTCAAAAAATATTATAAACCTTGTTAATATTTGCCACACAATATCTTGCGCCAAAAATCAACAATCTGTAAACCAATACGAGGACACTATGCCATTGTGAACGCAATGAGAAGCTGAGTTCTTGCTCTTTGTTAGATAAGCAAGCCTTGAGGCAGGAGTACTCTGTCGCAATATAACGAAAAGCGAACTACAAACGTCGGAACTATGCACCACGTGCATACGACATGTGGAGCAAATACGAACACTTTATGGTTTGCTTAGCTT